CGGCGCTATCCACTATGGAGCCTTGAAGGTTTTTGGCTGGCGGTTGTATGGAATGCCGCCTACCGTACACCTCGTCGAACTCTTCAAAGAACTCCCAGCTTGTTGCCTCTCTCCCAGTCTGCCCATTTCGTTTCTTTATTCGTTTGTATGTCGCAAATAAATTTAAAAACTTTCTTTGCATAAGGTCCTTTGATTGCGGAACATCCGTGTTGACCAACTTCATTTTGTTGACCACTTTTGCCCATAATACCGACTTTTTACGTTTCCCCGCAGAAAATTTGTGCTCCATTTCGAGCCGGCATCTCACTAGGAGCTTGGTAAAATTGTGACATAGCTTCAGGCTGGAAATGATATTTAAAATAAAAAATAATATAATATTATTCATTAGTGCACATAACTAATAATAATAATTAGTTATAAGCAAAAATAAAGAGCGATTTCGCTTACCTCATTTCCTCCATCACGAATTTTGTTGATGCCGATTTTGTCACTTTTGCGCGCACGAAATGTCAGTATTTGAGTTGTTCGAAGGCTTGACATTTGCAAAAGTTGCCACATTTCTGCGTCGAATATGATGCTTTGCAATATTGCCGCAGTGATTGAGACTCAAACACCCCCAAACACATTGAATATCTTGTGCATTACCAAATTGATCTAAAAAAAACTTTTTTAAGTACTTGATGGTATGTAACTTAATTTCATTATTTTGCTCCGCCAGCTTCGTCTATTAATTAGCAATATCGCTAAATATTTCAAGAAGTACTTGTAAAAAATGTAAGCTCAGAGTTATGTACGTTTTACTCCAGTCTACGCCGTACACAATACATATATAATATTAAGGTCTTAATTATAATACGTTGCATAATAAAAAACGGTATAGCTTAATTGTTTTAAGTTATTTATATAATTGTAAATTATTACTTTTTATTCATATAGATATGTATGTATATTAGGGTGGCTCTTATATAGCACTTTTTACAATTTTTAAAAAATTTTCGTGGGTTACCCTTCAGTTTGGTTCCATTCTATGAAAAAAGAGCTCTATGGAATTTGGTGTCAATCGGATAAGGGTAAGGTGTGCCCCTAGGCCCTTAAAAATCCAAAATAAACCGAAAATCACATGAAAATCAAATTATTTGTGCTTTTTGTTCCAAAAAATTTTTATTGAGTAAGTAACTAGCAAGAATTCTTACTGTTAAATTATATTAAATCATTAATCTTTTTGGTATTATCTTCTGATATATCTGCTTCACGATATAGTGCACTGACCATTTTTCTTTTTGATTCAGAAGACAAATTAGAGTCAAAGAACGCGAAGGCGATGGGTTCAGGAGATAAATACCACAAATGATTTTTAATTTTTTGTAAAGCCACACGGGAAATGTCACTATCAATATTCTGATATTTATAAAGTGTTGAAAGAACACTGAAATCTGAATATGGGGCTTTGGCTGCAGAAGGAGCACAAAACCACGCTTCGACATATACACGGATTAGGAAAATGCATATAACACAAATAGCATTTTCTTCATGATAACTTAAATTCATCGCGAAACCTTGCCATCCACCTTGCATGATGGATAGCCCCTGGTACTCGGAAGATCACTCCACGAGGCGGTGTTGTGCCAAGAAAAATAGCTGTCAATTCTAAAAATTCTCTATAATCCTCTCTGGGATGTTGTTCTTGCAAAGCGTCTTGTTCAAAATCAAGAATTCGAGATACATCGACCGGATTAAAATTTTCCTTGACCTTTTCATGCTCGATTCCGGTTTTAAAATTATTAACGTTAATTCCAGACCAAGCAGTTTGGAACTTTTTTAATATTGGTACAGTTGGGCCTGTAGTTTTCCCCATCTTTTCCTCATAAATTGCTTTTAAAATTATATCGTACATGTGATGCCGAAAGGGTAAATACAAGAGATCTTTTTCCAGAAAGTTTTCAATCAAAACACATGCATCTTTAAAAGCGCCTGTATTTGATGCTGTTGTGTCAAAAACTAATGCTTTTACGTAATTCTGAAGGCCCCATTCCGCAAGAGTTTCACAAACAGCTGTTGCTTGTTCTTTTCCATTCCCCGATCGCAATGCAGGTACACCAAGAAGTTGATCAGTACCACAATTTGAAAGAATTACAGAAAGTCGGTCTACTGTCTCTTTACCCGTTAATGCTGGAAGTAGTTTACCATCTCAATGCAAGGTAGCAGCGTGCAATTTCTTATCCTTGAAAATATTTTTGATTTCAGCAGCTTTTTGTTCGCGAAGATTCTCTCGAAACTTGTTAATAGAGCACCTGGTGATATAGAAATTTTCAACACACTGATCTTGCACATATCCAAGGCAGCAGCAAGCTTTGGAGTGATTATTGTTCGACGCCCCCTTTTCCTTTTTGCTTGTGGTGATAAATCTTTTGAGACTCGCGGAACTTCCTCCAAATCACAGAAATCTAAATCTTCACTACTGCTTGAACTAGACGTCATGAGCATAGCAGGTTGAGCTGAAAAAATTAAAAAATTTAATCAAATGAAAACATATATATATATAAATCCATAAATATTTATATACACAATCGATACTTACCCAGTTGTTGCATTTCATGATCGCTTCGCTTTTTCCTCTTCATCTCTTGCATTTTTCGTTCAGAAACTCGTGCTTCTTTCGCAATTAGCTGGTAATCAATTCCATACATAAACCCTGGCCTCTCAACCGCTGATTGATTAAGAACTGTTTATCTTCTTCAATGGTAATGATACTCAAAGCAGTGACGTGTGCCATATCAAAAAGGTCCTCAAGTTTTTCAAGGAAATCTGTTTCTTTTTTCTTATGAACCTCCGAAAATCTTCCAGCATGTTTTTGAAGTTGCCTAAATTGTTTATACAGACCTTCCAACTTTGGTATACAATTCCTTAACTCTTGCGTCGGAATTCGTGCTTTTTCCCAATATACCATCGCTTCCCGCACAGCTAGTGAGGCACTTCCCCGTACGGTTAACTTACACACTCGCAAATTGAAAAAGAAAACGTTTAACACTTGTTTCACCGATGGCAGTTTACTTCCAACAATTTCATTCGAGTAATGCCCAAGAAGATAAATTTTCTCTCGTAATCTAGGAGTTGACATTGTGCTACCGTATGTGTTCACTTCGAATGTTATAGGAGACTGATATTTTCATCCACTTAATTCACAATACACGAAGCACGCCCAAAATTTAAAAAAACGCACAATAACCGTCAATATTTACTGTAAATAGTTATTTCCATCCACTCAATTCACAATACTCCTTAGTAATTCACAATAAACTGCGAAAATACGCTATGCATTTGACAGTTAACACATGACGAAAACCATATTTTCAATTAGGTTTTCAGCTGAAAACACGGAAAGCGTGTTTTCGCTGCAATGCGAACATACTTTTACGAATCTTTTTCACTTTCTTTTTGCAGTAAAATAAAGCAATTTTCCCCCGGACGTAATTTGGGCGATAACTCTGTACAAGTTTTTGAAACCAAGAAACTAAATTAATTTTTTATTTGAATTTTCGTTTATTTTGTATTTTTGAGGGCCAAGGGGCACACTTTAAACTTATCGGATTAACTTCAAATTTCGCTCATCTGATTTTTTTAGAAAAGGGAACTAAATTGAGGGCTAGCACAAGAAAAAAAATTGTTCTTGAAAAATAAGAGCCACCCTAATGTATATACTTGATCTCATTTTTGTATGGTTAACTGGGGCAATAATTACCCGTTCGAAAAGTCAGATTTTGATGTACAACTCACTATCAGAACCAATCAAAAAAATTTGTTAAAAAAGGAAAACGTATAAAACAAATCTCATTTTACTTATAGGCAAATCTATCCCTTGGTGCAGCGAGAATTTACACAATTAAAGCACTGTAGATTTTCATGGTGTTATATTGTATATACCGTTAATAGAAATTAACAAACATAAATTTCAAAGTTCATGTAATGTTACGTTTATGATTTAAAAAAAATCGTCATTTATCGCTGTGCTTTCCTTGACTTTACTTCTTCTACAGTAGCATTCTACTGCTTAATTTAATTGGCACTGAAATCCTGCAGAGCGTCCTGTGAAAAAAAATCCGTGCAAAAAGGAGATCAAGTGTATATATATGATTGCTCAACTCTCACACATTTTATCATACAAATTATTTCGTGAATTCGACAGTGTTATATATAGTATAGTACTATGTTATATGAATATTAAACTTTTGATTTTCTGTATAGCTGTTTACAAAGTCGTATACTTGTATTGATATTTTATTTTAGTATTTATGTCACAAAAATTTGCAAATATAGGTTTATTTTATTTATACATAATATATTTATATGCTCGCCTCCTTTCTATATATGTGCTCTAATATGTATTTTTTTAACTATTAGCTCAAACGATACCAAATGTGCAAAAAATCTATATCAAAAATGAAAGAAACAAAAAACCTCATTCAGTACAATTTTGCTCGTTGCGTTCAATTTGAAATAAGTATTGTTTGTATTTGATTTGACACAGTATAACATAACTGTAAATTAACAGTAAATTATGTCGATTTGGTTTGCTGGAATTTTTAATTTATTTTTGTTTGCATAAATATACTGTGGCAAAAAGTGGCCTTCCGATCCGTGAAATTGCTTGTGTGTTAAAATTGTCTATTAGCTCTATTGTGGCCTTAAGAAAACTTAGTTGCTTCCCTGGATGTAAGAGGACGAACACGATTGTTAACAAACTCTGATGTCAGACAAAGGAGACACCGAATGAAGTTGCAAATGACATAAATAAGAATGTCAGCGAATAGACTGTATGGAGAGGCCTTTAAAGAATTTGTTTTGTGAACCCTGTTAAACAGAAAATAACGCCTGAAAAAAAATAAAAACATAAAAACTGTTCTGTGGAAGATTGAAAAAAAAAAAACTTATCATCAGATGTAACGAAAATCAATAATTTTCAATCGGAAGGCAAACAATAATATCCACATGAAAATCTACAACATTATGTGCGGCAGACTGTCGTCGTGTTGTTATAGCGGTAGAAAACATTCCTGAAGTAATTTAGAGGTCCTTAGCTGAAAAACGAGGTCCGTTTCCGGTTACTTAGACCCGAATGTCGTGGAAACAGTAACGGAATGTAAAATATGATAGAAGGGGTCTCATTCTACGGGGAGGCTTCAATTGAAGAACCTCAGGAATTCTGAAAAAAGGAGACTATTGGAATAATTTACAGTCAAAATTAATTGATTTTATGGACGAAAGTGCTTATCCATAGGAACAGCTAGATTTAATGGGGAAGTAATCATCTGAAGCACTTTGATAAATTGTAACTCGCTGTGATCAATTTCAGCTCATCCACTGGTCAGCACAAAATCACTTAACCTGATTAAGGATTTGTGGGCTAGTGTGAACAAGAGACGGACTATGAAGCAGAATATAAAACTAATGGAGAAGCATGCCGAAGTAAATACTAGCACATTAAATTGAAATTATCACGAGATGTCTAAAAAATGTATGTAAACACAAAATATCAAAAATTAAATAATCTATTTTAAAGACATCTACTTTTTACCAGAGAAACTTTACTTAATGAGTTTGTTTTAGTTTTTTATTACACAGTACAAAAAAAAAAATTACTCTGAAAGTGACGAACGTCCAAACGGGTTGGCTTCTTTTCTTTAAATGATGATATATACAAAACATTTCTGTTAATCAAAATTTCATGTAATATACATTATCACAATGATCCATATGATCCCTTTCATACGAATAGCTTCCAATGTTTTACTTGAGCATATACAAAATATGGGCTTACATAGTATATTATATTATACATATAAAATGCATAAAGTTATTAAACTTATACATAAATATATTTGAGCACCATTTTTGTAAAGGTCAACACTTATTCAACTTTTGTGTTTACAAAATCTTAGTTTTAGTAAACAAAAACTGTAAAGTTAATATTATAAATATATAGATAATATTCTTAAATACAGTTTATAAAAATTAATTAATTATTTAAAATACCTAATTTGAAATGTCTTGAAATAAAAGAACCTCCATTGTATGTTAACAATAGGTAGGTTATTTAAACGGTCAATATTATTTAAAGATTAATTAACAAATTTAATTAAAATTTATATTTGCAGACACCGTGATATACTAATAGCTTTAATGATAACAGTAAACCTCGTTCGGAATATTGCCCATATACTTGTATATAGATTTTTGAGAAATATCAAACCATTTCATAAATTAAAAAAAGAGTAAAAACGGTAGAAAACCTCAAATATCAATTATCAAAATCATAATTAATTAACAAATTGGTATCGATTCAAGACTTTTCTTAAGAAAATCATCCAATCGTTTTTATGGAAATACTGCCAGTGTATCTAAAGCTTGTGGAATAGAAGACGGCTAGGCTAACATGTGTTAAATTATTATTAATTATACGAAAGTTACGAAACATGGGTTTACGTCAAATAGCTGGTACATTTCATATTATGCGCACAAGAAATTGTTATAAATCATTGAATTTTACTGAATGTGTAACTTTCTAGAAGTATGCCTCGGGCATTTATATGTACATACATCTGTATTATATAGAGTTTTTGGTGTTATTATTATTTTAGTTAATTTTATTAAGTTGTAATTAGAGCAATGAGCATCTTTAAATAATTGCCTTATAAATTAAGCTTAAATCCCTCATTTAGAGCGAGTGGTTTGTGGTTTTTCATTTTCAAATTATTCAAAATACATTCATTGAATTTTTTTTAATAATTTGAACAATATTTATAATGTCAAACAACAAATAAATATAATTATATGTATGTATATACACCTGTTTATAAGTTATATATGTTGGAAGCCATTAACAAAATTTGCTTTATTTAAAAAAATTTCAAATAACTCCTCTTGATTTCTATTGGGTTTGTATGCTTATTATGATCATATTTTAACATAATAATTAAAAGTTCAGTAATTAATTTTTTAGAATCTTCCGGTAGTTGAGTTGAATTAATTAATTATGCAATTTCTATCAATATATTAAATATTATAAATATTATTTATTTATATTTTTAATATAGTAGGTAAATATCTTTAAAACTTGAACGCATTGACTTACCAACATTTATTTAAACTAACAATGTCTGTAGAACTTTGTGAAAATTTCGTAATATGACACCAAAGTAGTAGTCCACAAATAAAAATTAACTCAATATATTTTTTGTAAAAGAAATTTTAGATACTCATGTCAAAATTGGAAAATATAATTTGATTTAGTTCATATTTGCAAATTCAAATCACGCCTGCATTATATACATCCATATACAAAATTTCCGAATTTATTTAGATTTAGTGGAATGCTTTATTTTGCTGTTGAGTAAATTGACGGTCTCTTTTTCCTTCTCCATCCTTTTTGATCTAAACGTCTAATAATTATGTGTTTTATTATACAAATTGCCTTTTATGAATCGGTTTACCTCTGCGGGTTCCGATTCTTTAAACGTTAGCGATTTCGTTTTGTTTTTCTATTGACATTCCCCTCGATGATGATCTAGAAATAAAATTAGCAAATAAATATTATAAGTTCTAGTATTTTTATAATCGTATCTTTATGTTTGGATTTCTAAATCGGAGCATTTCCAAAACTCAATCGCTTAAAAAAATATATTGAACGAAGGATTTTTTCTTCAATTACAAATATTTATAAGAAAAAATCAACTAGAAATTTTTTGTCCGCCAAAGATACGATTTTCTTTTTTTTTCGCTCAATGCCTACTTTAGATCTTAATTGAAACCCGTTTTTTATACTAAAAAGTGGGTGTGGCCCCGCCCTCTAACAAGTTAAATGTACATATCTCCTAAACGACTACTACTACCCAAGCTACTACAAACAAATTTGCTGAGTACAAATCTTATGGAATAAAATGGATCGAAAAAAATCGCGATAAATCTAACTAAATACGCCAGAGACATTACATTTTACCACCGAAATGGCATGAGGAAGTCTTATGTGCTACGAGCCATTCTTTTTATGCACACTGTGCAAGTGGATGAAATCGGACAGCAACCACGCCTACTTCCCGCATAGCAAAATTTTAAATTTCACTTGATTCGTTCAGTTTCCAGTGCACAAATCAAGAAGCAATTAACAGGATAAAACTTTGCCCGAATAATGTCTTTAGTGTGGGCCACCTTATGACCAAAAATTGTTTAAATCCAATAAAAACTGTTGAAGTCCCTAGGTACTGAAAATTTAGGCCCCCGGTACCTATAGTTGATTTTTGATCGAAATTGAGGGTCACAGTGTGATATATACATATAACTGAAATTAAGGGATAATCCTTCTCTTATAATGATATGCCTCTATGTCAAAAATAGGTTGAATCGGACAAATACTTTCCTTTACCCCCAATACTTAATATAAAGATTTTCGAACTTCGGGGTGACTTTGTATCGCATATATCGGGCAAAATGTGAGTTTCCCAATGAAAATAACAGAGCATGTTTTATTCATAACAGTGTATATTTGTGCCTAAAATAAATAAAATAAATAAAAAAAAATATATATATATACATATATATTTTAATGGTCTTTAAATTAATACAGGATAATATTTTGAAATAGAATTAATTCAATTTAAGCCAGTTTCTCGCTTTGAGATGCTTAGAATGTCCATAAGATATTCTAGAATATTATGTCATGCAATTAAAAATAATCAATACAGTGACTACAAAACACTTAAGGAGGCGAATCTATTGTTCTGTATTTTATATCTAGTGATGTCCATCACAACTGGACTTAATGGTCCAGTGGTTTTCCGTAATTGGTTTAATGCTTAAAATTAACTTTGCCTGACAATATTACTTTTTGGAAGTTGCGATAATTACTTTTATTAGACAATTTGGACCATCAGATTACATATTTAAAAAATCTTAACAGGATGCGTCCAGAGAATGTGCTACCGATAAGAATAGGCATTTCCAGACTCTACAAAATATTTTTTTCTGTAAATATCTTTTAAATTGATCAAAATTTTTAGAATATAAATGTGGCACGAGCCACAATATATTATATTATATTTCAACGTTTAATACAACATGGCAACACCATGGCAAGTTAGATGCACCTGGCTTACAAGCAATGCTGAAACGAATACAACACAAAACGAAACAAGGAATACATAGGTAACCGTTAGGCTTGAAGACGCCCGCGGTTATTACTATATAGGACTCCACATTATACGAGCAACTCTCTTCTTCTGCTGACAGCCATCGCGTTCACATAGAATAACCACCGCACAATAACCACCACAACTGGTGACACCGACGTGATCGATAGTTATACCGCGATTCAATAATATAATTTTAAAATTCGCTAATTATTTCGGCTACAGTCCACTTCGTTTATTAATTAAAACTACGCAAACACTTCTTGACTACTACTTTGTGTTTTGGTTTTTTGTGCTCATCTGCGCACGTGGCTGCCCACGCGTACAACCGCAGCAGGAGTTTTCCCGCAAAATCGCAATGCCAGATAGCGCAAACATGCACATGGCAGACAGTATAATGCCACTCCAACGTGTTTCTATACGATGTCCGCTCTTCAATTCTGAAAGACCAGCCTTGTGGTTCACCCAACTCGAGGGACAATTTCATCTCGCCGGAATTTTCGATGAAATTACGCAATACCATTACGATTCCTCATATCTTGACGCCAAGGGAACCTACCGTCGGACAGTTAGTGGCGGTTAACGGCTCCTCACGTGAATCAAACTGCCTTTTCATAACAGATCGCGCCACAAAAATCCAATTTCTGGTGGATACTGGCGCTGATCTCTGCACTCGCACCGTGGCCGTCCGAGCGAATCAACTATAATCTCACAGCAGCAAATGGATCTACGATTAATACCTACGGTTGCATAACTCTAACACTAAACCTTGGCCTCAGGCGAAATTTTACATGGCGCTTCGTGGTGGCGGATTTTTTAGCTCATTTCGGCATCTTACCCGACCTCAAGAATAGCTGCCTTATCGACTCGATATCTGAACTAAAAGAAGCATGTAAGTTATCTCCATCAAAAAATCATTTCGGAAATTAAAGTACTGCCCGCCGATCCTATATGGGCAGATACACTAGTTCCCTAACCTGACAAAGTCCGAAGGAATCTGTCAGCCAACAAAACATACGACGCAGCACCACATTTCTACTACACCAGGCCCTCCCGTTTCGTGTAAAGCTCCAAGACTTGTTCCCGACAAACTTAAAATTGCCAAGACAGAGTTCGAGAAAACGTTACAACTAGGAATCGCTCAACATTCGAAGAGCTCCTGTTCACCTCCGCTCCACCTGAAAGACTGAGAAAACTGGCAAATGGCGACCTTGTGAAGATTATCGACGACTTAACGCCCGTACATTGCCAGACCGATATCCTGTTCGTGTTCTTGAAGACTTTACCGCCAATTTAACCGGCAAAACAGTATTTTCAACAATTGATCTAGTACGCGCTTTTAATAAAAAACCTGTATACAAAGAAGATGTCGACAAAACTGCAATTATAACACCGTTTGGTCTTTTCGAATTTCCGTTCATGATGTTCGGGCTTCGGAATGCCGCACAAACATTTCAACGATTTATCGACGAGGTAACACGGGGACTAGACGACTTCTTATTCCCATACATAGACGACATCCTAATCGCTTCCAAAGATGTTATGCAACACCATGACTGCGCTTCGCTTACCTTTCGAACGACTCACTAAGTATGGTGTCGTAATTAACACCGCTAAGTGCAGTGTTGGTCAGTCCGAAGTGGACTTTTGGGACACCGCATTTCAGCCAAAGAAATCTTACCTCTTCCTGGTAAAGTAAACGCGATAGTTAACTTTCCACTACTAAAAACGATCCGAAAACTGCTTGAGTTTCTTGGCATGATACATTTTTACCGTAAAATTCTTAAAAACACTGCTAAGTTACAAGCACCTCTGCACGAGTACATTCAAGGGACTTCAATAAAAGGTTCTCCCCCGGTTCCCTGGACACCAGAAGGGGATGCAGCGTTCGTTCAATGCAAAGAAGAGCTACTTAAAGTAACAACATTAGCATACCCTGATACAACGTTCCTTGGGCAACAACGGCGAGTACAACACTGGGAACCATTGACCTACTTCAGCCAAAAGCCGACCGTGAGCTTTACGGTATCTACGCAGCCTTACGAAAATTTCGTTATATTTTCGAAGCATGACACATCACAATATTTACGGATCGCAAACCGATAACCTGGCAAGAAATTTCAATGGCAGTATCTTCAAACGAACTTGCTCAAGCACAAGCTGAGGACGAGGAACTTCAGCAAAGAATACAAAGGGAACAATACGATTCACTAAACTTGCGACCAGTCAACATTTCATTTTCGACCGATATTATTCGCCCATATGTTCCCACCGCGCTGAGGAAGAAAATATTCGACGCTCTCCACAGCATTAGTCATCCCGGAGCACGAGCTTCCGCCAAATTGTTAACGAACGATACGTTTGGTCAAGCATTAACCGCGACTGCCGTTTGTKGGCCCGAACATGCCTAGCTTGCCAACGAAATAAGGTATCTCGCCACGTTTTATYACCAATCCAAAACTTTCCAAGCCGCACAAGACGTTTCGAACACATCCACGTGGACATCATTGGTTCATACGTACTTTCAAAGGGGTATCGCTACTGCTTGACAATTATCGATCGTTTCACCAGGTTTCCAGAGGCATTTCCCATTGATAGTATCGACGCCGAATGTGTTGCCCGCACACTTTTTGCTGGATGGATATGCCGCTACGGTGTACCATTACAAATCACAACGGACCAAGGAACACGGTTTAAGAGCCAACTTTTTAGCGCTCTCGCTCGTTTCCTCGGCAGCAAACATATAAATAGAACCACTTTCCATCCGCAGTCGAAGGGAATGGTGGAACGTCTTCACCGTCACTTGAAGGATGCAACTCCTGCCGATCTCGTTTATGGAGAGCCATTCGTTTACCAGGTGACTTCCTAGCGCCTTCGCCACGATCTGGTTTGCAATCATCCAATTTGGCATTACGCTTAAGAAATTGCTTCGCAGATCTGGCACCACAACCCATTGGACGACACGGTCAGAGGAAACCATTCATTTTCAAAGAACTATCTACATGCTCACACGTTTTTATTCGTAGCGACGCTCCACACCACGCATTCACTTCACCTTATGAAGGACCTCACCGAGCCATTTCAAAGCATGAAAAATATTTCATTGTAAACGTCAAAGGCGAAAACACTACAATTTCGATCGACCGACTTTTTATTTACTTCCCGACGATAAGCTCAACGAGAGTGAGCAGCACAACGACGATGACAACAATACTACGCTTACGAAATCAACTTCACCAGAGTCATCTGAACCTCGGACATCTCGATTTTCGTCGCCATCATACCGCCCATCTGAATCCGACTCCAACTTATCTACACCGTCACCCAAGAGACGCGTTAGAYTCCGCTGAACTTCTAATCATCTTCCTAAATTATAAATAATTTTGATAACGTTCTCCAAGAAGGGGAGTACTTGTGGGACGAGCSACAATATATTATATTATATTTCAACGTTTAACACAACATGCCAACAGCATGTCAGCAAGTTAGCTGCGCCTGGCTTACAAGCAACGCTGAAACGAATACAACACAAAACGAAACAAGGAATACATAGGTAACCGTTAGGCTTGAAGACGCCCGCGGTTATTACTATATAGRACTMCACATYATACGAGCAACTCTCTTCTTCTGCTGACAGCCATCGCGTGCACATAGAATAACCACCTCACAATAACCACCACAATAAATTTGGAAAATATCGCAAATGCATTATAAACAAGCTCGGAACAAGCTAAGTTCGGGTGTAACCGAGCTAGGATTAAAGCCAAGGAAGTAAGGATCTTCAGGTACATTAGGCTTGTTAATTATATGGGGATTGGGGCGAGTTTTCACCCGATTCTATGCACATATATGCACCATTATGAGAAACCCACGCTCTTACAATTTTGTTAAGATAACTCACATATTGGAAATTGGTTCGACAATCTTTATATTAGGTACATATATGCTAAGGGAAGTATTGACCGGATTAAACCCATTTGTAGCTTACAGAGATACTAATATAAGGAAAGTATTTTCTGTGAATTTCAATTAATGTCTCGCACATTGACCAATATTTTCGGTAAGAGGTCAACTATAAACACAGGGTCCACATATTCAATACCTAGTTAAACAGTTTTGGTTCGATTTACGCAATTTTTAGGCATAAGGGAACATACCTCAAATGCAAATTCGTGCAAAGTTTTATGTCGATATGTTAATTAATTCTTCATGAAAGTTTCCAATAGAATTTAAAATGGTATTATATGGAAAGTAGGCGTGGATGCCCAATGCTCATTCTTGCCCTGTTGCAGATGTTACCAAAATTTAATGTGTCTCCCATATTGATTTATCGCGCTTTTAGCAGTTTACAACAGTACGTATATGGGGAGTGAGCGCTCATCCAATTTCTTCCATTCCAATTTATTCCATTTTCACACTTCGGTAGGAGTTCTGAAGATTTTGCGCTAGGCGAGTTTGATTATTGTAGCTTTAGTGGTTTAGGAGATATGTGCATTAACACTTATTAAACGACGGTTTCATTAAGATATCTCAATTTTTACTAACGGACATACAGTCATCCGGTTTACAACCCGCGTCGTCATCATGATATACAACCCTATATCTATCTTGATTAGTTTTAGAAGATACATACAACCGTTATATTAACTCTGTTTCAGCATGTTAAACTAGTATAAAAACTGGTAGAGGAAAATATTCAATACCTAACAGAACCCTAACATTTACATAACCCATGATGCAGAGAAGATAGTAGTAGCTGCTTAGATAATAATATTCCATTTTTCATAAAAAATCAAAGCTTATTCAATTAGGAATTTTGTAAAAATTTTAAACAACGACAAATAGCTTCAATCATAAAGTAGATTGCGGCGGTATTTATTATTAAAATTTAATTTTATTTGAATATTTAACCGTGGCTAAAATAACTATCCACCTAATTTACACTTCAGTATTTAAAAACCTTTTGATAAGGTTTATACATTTGGTAAATACAGGGTTCCTGGAAAGTAAAAGGACTGATTTTCTTCCGCCTCGACTCTACTTCGGATTGTGCGCGTACCGACTGGATTCAGTAAAGGGTGTTCCTAGATAGCGAACGAGCGGCTGGTCAGTTGTTTCCGATCACCTGGAGAGTTACGACAAACATTTTCGCGCGACGTGTTTCTGTGAATGGTGCAAGCCGAAAATGGAACGTTCGTTAGAGCAGAGGTACGCGATTAAATTCTGTGTAAAAGTCGGTAAATCTGCGACAGGGACAAGCAGTATGTTTCGGTGGCACTAGGCTTTTTTGGAGGGCTGAGAAGAGGTCGCTGATGAAGACCGTGCTGGAAGACATGTGACTCTTGCGCAAAGTTGTGAACTCAGACCGTCGACTAAGTATTCGTTTAGTTGTACAGATGTGATGTTAAATTTATGAAACCCTATGATTCATGACATCGCGACGAAGCGCAAGGTGTGCTCACTGACGACCAAAAATTGCGGCGAGTGGAAGTGTGCTAAGAAAAATTGAACATATGTGAAAGTGACCCGCATATTTTTGTTTCCTTGCCTGAAAAGGTCGGTGAATGGCAATCGTTTTGAGACGACAGAGGGGATCCAAGCAGTTTACACCTTGGCTCTCAAGGCTATCTCGGAAAATGCCATTTTTAAAGAATTGTAACGATTCGTTCAATACATTTTCTTAAATCAACTCAGTCCTATTACTTCCGGACAAACCCTGTAAGGTAAACTTGGTATACAGATAAGTATGCCGACATTTTACTCTTTATGTTTAAAAATACATATGCAAAACAAACCTGTAGTATTTGGCTGGCCTCAAATGCTGTACCTGGTAGTAAAATAATCGGCGATGATACATGACCCGACTCCACGCACAGCATATTGGGAAATTCATCATCCCCAAAATCACTCATTTCTCTTGCTTGATCTATCCATGGGTTCCAAATAACTGCAAAATAATTTAAATTATAATACATATTAACACTAGTTTCTAAATAACCTTATATTAAGGCCAAATAGTACATTGATGAATTATCAATATGAATCATAATAATTAATACCGTTTACTAAATGTTTTACGACAGAAAAAAAATACATATTAATATACCTGTAAGCAACTTTGTTTATTGTGAAAAAAGCGAAAAAACAGTTAAAGCAAGAACTTGGCTTTATTGGCTTATACTGCCACAATCAAAGATTGGTACGCTAAATTTAGACATGACGAAATGAGCATCGAAAACGGTAAACGTGGTGGACATCCAAAAGAGGTTGTTACCGTCGAAAACATCGAAAAACAACGAAAAATGTTTTTTCTTCACGCATTGATTGACGCATAAATTGCAGTGATATGGAAAAGATTTTTTGTAGCCCAGCTATAATGCAATAAATCCAATATGTATGTACATACGGTGGTAGTCCATTAAAACGAACTTTTGAAATATAGAAATTTTCCTGTAATCATTGGAAAACAACTTATATTTTTCAGTGACTTTCTTTTGCAATCCAAAGGGAGTAAAACAATTTTATTATATTTAATTCAGTATAATATATGTACAAGAAAGCAGTTAAAAAGAAATGAAGTGGAAAATGTGTATGAATCACAAAAACAGTGTTACATGAATATGTGCGTTATATACAGGCATGTATTTCAACAAGTCTCCTTCACGAGCATATTCTTACATGCATCTCTTATATAGTTATATTTTATATTAAAATGCTTACTCTTGGAATAATAAACGGAATCTTTTACGAGATGCATCGCACTCAAGTAGTCGGCGTTCACTACTATCGCCTTTGGACACTGAATTTTCATTCCTGTTAATAGCTCTTTCAGAAAAACTACTTCTTTTGCTGCAGATATAAGTGCCAAATACTCAGGACTGCTCAGGGCTACAGTCGGCTGCTTCTTTGATTCATATGGAAATGTGCGGAAGAGTAGTTAAAAACTCCAATAAAATCTGATCTATTACCCGCCAATTTCCTCCCAAGCGGATAAGTGCATTCAAGCAGTAGTTATTGTCTTATCGCAATTAACAAGCATGCTTCCAAGCTATCACACAAATAACAAGAATTGGAAAATGGTTTCGCACCTTTAGTTAGCAGATCTCTACTGAAACTGCAGCGACCAAATATTCTTCTTTACTGGCGTAGACACCGCTTACACGATTATAGCCGAGTTAACAACAGCGCGAGTTAAGGAACGTATTCCTTATAATAGTAGCAAACATCAAAACAACCTTGAGTTTGAATACCTGATCAGCCTTATCTTAAAACAATGCAAATGTATCTAAGCAAACGATACACTATATATGTAAACAAACCTAAACATGTAAGAATAAGTTGGTCTTAAGACTAAAAAATAAAAATATACTTCTTTACTTCTGGTAAAATTAACCCAACCGGGATGGCAAATTAATTTGCTATTCAAAAAGCCACATTTTATTCCGAAATAAATAAAAAAAAACCCCATAGGAAGTAGGACTTCCAGCACGAAATGCCTGGGAAAAATTCAGAAACGAATGGCAATGGATATAAGTATAAATCATGTAACGGCGGACAATAATTTCAGGATGAATCAACAGCAGATCCTACGCAGAACTATGTCAATGTCGCCGTATATCTCGTACAGCTCATCGTTGCATCGAATGCGATATTCGCCGTGGCCAACGCGCAAAGGACCATAAATCTTTCGCAACACTGTGCTCTCGAAAACTCGTAACGTTGACTCATCAGATATTGTCACCGCCCAAACCTCTGCAGCATATAGCAGGACGGGAATTATGAATTACTTACAGAGTTTGGTTTTTGTTCATCGAGAGATGACTTTACTTCTAAATTGCCTATTCAGTCCGAAGTAGCATCTGACGAAATTATCTACAACTTCAAAGCTATGACTGTCAACAGTGACGTGAGTGCCAAGTCGCGAGTGCGACGACTGTTTGTTTGATGACAGGAGATATTTCGTCTTGCCCTCGTTCATTGCCAGACCCATTTATGTTGCTTCCTTGTCCAGTCTGGAGAAAGCAGAACTAACGGCGCGGGTGTTGAGGCCGATGATATAAATATCATCGGCATACGCCAGCAGCTGTACACTCTTATAGAAGATGGTACCTTCTCTATTTAGTTCTGCAGCTCGAACTATTTTCTCCAGAAGCAGGTTGAAAAAGTCGCACGATAAGGAATCGCCTTGTCTGAAACCTCGTTTGGTATATAACGGCTCGGAAAGGTCTTCCCGATCCTGAAGGAGCTTTTGGTGTTAGATATCGTGCATAAAAGCAGCGTGAAAATCGACGAAGAGGAGGAGTTTGTCGATTCTCTTTTCACGGTTTGTTGATTCTCTTTTCACGAGTCTTTTCCAAAATTTGGCGAATGGTGAATATGTGATCGGTTTTTAACTTTCCAAGTCTAAAGCCACACCGATAAGGTCCAGTCATTTTGTTGACAGTGGGCTTTAATCTTTCACACAATACGATCGATAGGACCTTATATGCGACAGTATCCCACAGTAGTTGGCGCAGATTGTGGGGCTCCCTTTTTGTGAATTGGACAGAGTACATTTAAATTCCACTCGTTGGGCATGCTTTCGGCCGGCCATATTTAACATAGAATATATATTCCCTATCATTTCTTCACCGCCGTGTTTGAATAGATCGGCCGGCAATCCATCGGCCCTCGCCGCTTTGTTGTTGTTTAAACGGGTAATTGCTATTCGAACTTCTTTATGGTCGAGCAGTGGAACATCTACTCCAGGGTGATCGATTGGGGAATCGGGTTCGCCTTCTAGTGGCGTCGTGCGTTCACTGCCATTCAGCAGGCTGGAGAAGGGTTCCCTCCATAATTTAAGTCTGCTCTGGGCATCGGTGACTAGATCACCTTTGGGGGTTCTACAAGAGTATGCTCCGGTCTTGAAACCTTCTGGAAGCCGCCGCATTTTTTCGTAGAATTTTCGAGCATTACCCCTGTCGGCCAGCTTATCAAGCTCTTAGTACTCACGCATTTCGGCCTCTCTCTTTTTCAGTCTGCAAATGCGTCTCGCTTCCCTCTTCAACTCTCGTTTTCTGTTCCATTCCGCACATGGTGTCGTCGATCGTAACGTTGCGAGGTAGGCAGTCGGTTTTCCCTCAGTTGCGATACATCATCCTTCATCAACCCAGCTGTTCTTTTGCACTTTCCGAAAACCAATAGTTTCAGTTGCAGCTGTACGTAAAGAGCTTGAAATTCTGTCCCACAGTTCCGTTATAAAGAGTTATTGATAAACCCTCTCAGAGAGCAGGATTGCAAGTCGAGTAGAAAGATCCTTATTTCGTTTCCCTTGTTCGTCATCAAAAGAGGGATATCTAATCCCAGGCTGTTTTTTTTTTTGGTGGGCACAGCGCACAACCCTGTTAAGAGGATGTTTCGCCTTCTTACTTTAGCTCGCCATCAAACGGATGTTCTTACGCTACCCGCAGGATACTTGGTCAAACACCGGAAGTCGTGAACTGCTTGAGCCATATGTAAAATAATAGTTTTTGGCCACTCCCAAGTGAATATCTATCAGAGAACTTTCCTCACTTGCGTGAACTTCTACAGATGATTCCATCCATTGTGAGTAGTACACAGGTAACACAATATTCTCATAACTGCGCAATATGCCCTGAATGTGGATCGTTGTTTCCTTAAGCAAGTTTACACACTGAGTGCAAAATGTCGCGTCGCGTACATAATAATAATAGGTGTATCATTACAAGTTACTTGATGTCCCGCATCTAGTGGAGTAGTGATCGGTCGACAGTTTTCCATACGAATATCTTAACAACTTCTGTATATAAGTTAAATACAAATAAGTTTAACGTTTGCACAATATCCATGTGGCTGTTGCACTTGAATGGCAGAAGATCACAAACCCTAACAAAATTCTGGGAAACATGAGCTAGCATTATAAAAAACTGCTGCCGCTGCAACCCCAAGGAATTCCTTGGAATATAACACATTTCAGGAATGTCCACAGTTCTGCTGCCGGTTCTGCCGCCTTCGCCAGCTAGAACAGGGTATTGTTAAGAAAAGAAAGATCAGTTCTGACAGAACATTCAATAAAGAAACATCTTTAATTTAAAAGTTTGATTTTAATTTTAAAAATATTAACCGGCACCCGAACGGGGATGAACAGAGTGTAAAACAATACTGTTGGCCAACCAAATGAATGTTCTAATTATTGGAACGGAGACATCTTAAAGGTCGGTAGCCAATAACTACTGATCCATCGGCGGAATGCACGTTTTGTCCGGTCAGCCCGCAGAACATCCCCAACTGACGTGTATTTTACAGGATCCCAAGTAGAGAAAAGGAAGACATCCGGATTACCAGGAGGAGCAGCCACATCAATAAGTTAATGTAAGTTAGTGAATAAGATGCCAAAGTGAACAATATTAACGTAAACAATTTGAGTGAAAGAGAATAATTTAATACCAAATAATAGAATAATAGAAAGGAATTTGGTAGTGAAATAAAATACACTGACAAAATTTGCAAAACCTAAGTAATAAATAAATTCTTTTAATGATCAAACTTAACATTAATAATTTTAAAATTTAAAAGAAAACAGAAAAAAATAAACAATTAAATTTTTACATAACAAATTACATAATAATTTTTACATTGCAAATAAAATAAATTATATTCTCAATTATTACTAAGTGTAAGTCTACGATATAACCATTTTAGTGCGCGGACTAAAATTAAAATTTTGACCTTCAAATTTTTTAAAATCAATGCGTAACACAGTTAACTCAATCAGACCGGCTTTTTTAAACCCACAAGAAGCTCTACAACAATAGAGAGTAATATAAAGACAGTAAGTTCACCACCGAAATAGAAATATGGCCAATGCTGAAATTCAAGAAACTGTTAGCCAATTTTGTTACGTCAGACTCAAACCAACACTTTCGATTTTACTAATACAAAGAGTCA